ATGGTTACCTTACTGAGGAATTGCCAAACTGTTTTCCACAGTGGCTGCATTATTTTCTATCTTCACCAGCAATATATGAGGATTTTAGTTTCTCTGCATCCTTACCAACACTTGTTGTTTTCTCTGCGTATATGTGTGTGTGTGTGTGTGTGTGTGTATGTGTGTGTGTTAAATGGTGATGCTAGTGGGTATGAAGTGGTATCACATGGTGAGTAAACATCTCTTCGTGTGCTTGCTGGCCATTTGTACACATTCTTTGGAGAAATACATATTCAAGTCCTTCGCTCATTTATTTGGATTGCTGGTCTTTTTGTTATTGAATTGTGAGTTCTTTATATATTCTGGATATAAGACTCATCAGATATATGATTTTCAAATATTTTCTCTCATTCCGTGGCTTGTCTTTTCACTTTCTTAATGGTCCCCTCTAATGCGTAAAAGCTTTTAATTTTAATGATGTCCAATTGACCTATTTTTTTCCTTTATTTCATTGCTCTATTTTTGAGTCTTTTATTTTAATAGAAAATACTAAGTAATTAAAGAACATATTTTCAATAGTTTGAAGCACATTAGTCTTTATAATAGTTACCTTTTTATTCCTTCACGATGGTTAGTTACATTTCATGACCTTGTTTCTTAGTTCACTGAGAAAACGGAAGCAATGAAAAGACAGCTTCTATATTCTCCCACTACAAACCTCCCTCTGCCTTCCCTTCTCCATCAGGTAATAATTGTCCGTGCTCCCATCTAAGATCAACTCCCTACCTGCGCCCTGGATCCCATGCCTTCTCGCATAATTAGATTCTGCTCCTATAAATGTCCCTTCTCTCTCGCAGCTTAATTTTTCTCTCTCTTCTGGACCAGCACTCTTAGCTTCAAACTCGATGTACGAGCTCCCATACTTCAAAACAAAACAGGACAAAGACCAAGTAAAATGCGAAAACCTTCCTAGACTTCCGCATCCTCCTCCAGCCCTGGTCCCCACATTCCTCTCTGCTTTGTAGCAGGTTACCAGCGACCTCCACATTGCCATATCCCATCGTCAGTTCTCAGGCCTCATCACGCTCAGCCTCCCTGAGCGTTTTAGCGTTTCCTCCTTCGAGTACTTTCTTTCATCCACCTGAATGTCTAAGAGGCACCT